CCTCATAGGTCACCTGCTCCTGCTTTCACCTCTTGTACACTTCCTTTTTATATTTGACTTTTGTCAGGAACACCTTGTTGATCCATGCAAGCCTCCTGTGACCTGTGCTTTCTCCATGTTGGGATGGACCATTCTGGTGCTTTAAGGAGGTGATCCTTGAAAATCAGTCAGCTGGGTGATTGGATACTAAGATGAAGAAGTACATTCAAGGGAGCTACAAAATATATCTACCTCTTACAGAGGAATTAGTTATAAACCACATTCTCTGTTTCACTGACTGAAGAGACTTAATTCTTGTATTTTTTTCCACGCTGGGTTTTGCGCAGACCTAGATAAGCTCTGGAACGAATGGGGAGGATACTGGTGCTTTTTGCTGATTTTTAACTAAACTTTGTCTGCCATAACAGTGTGAATTGCAATTACAACAAAATTCAAGAATAAATTAATGAAAAGATGTCCAGATCTGAACTCACAATCTATGTGACTGTTGTCACTTTGAATTACATTTTCAAGTACTCAACTCTGAACAGACACAAAATCTAGTACTGTTCATTTGTTTTTAATCTCCAAGCATTAACAAATCTACTTTTAGAAAGGTAATCCTTTCTGAAAACAAAATCCTAAGCTCTCCTACCTTGAATCATGTACAGAAAATTTCTTAAATTCTTCAGAAATTAAAGTGCATGTATACATATATATAAAATAAATGCGTCTATGTCTCTGTTTACAGGTATGCATTTGTATACAGAGATGTTCACTGGTACCAACTCTTGATACATTCTTACCGTGTTTTCCTCAAAGGCTCAGCTTCCAAGTCAGGTGATTACATAAATCTGTATTTAAATTTTAAATAAAAGTTAATTCTTGCCTGACACATTGAAAGACTCAAATGCAATATAAACAATCTTTGAAACAAGTGAGGATTTCAATGCCTACGTGAGAAACAAATGCTTTGTAAATGCTTTGTAAGTTTTATTAAAAAACACAAAAGAGATAAAGACAGCCAACTTTCAATCTAATTTATTTTAAGCCATTGTCCTGATTTTTTGAAACTTGCTCACAATTTCTGACAGGAGTTTATCATTAACTGCATTGTGATAGAAATATTGAACCCCACAGCAGAATTTCCTACCCAGCAGATGTGGGAAAATGCTTCAAATGTCTCAAACTCTTGTTTTAATCACTACAGGCCTATCTGAATTGAAGGCTCTGCCATGAAATAAAGGAGGCAAGGGAGAGTAGAGTCCAACTAATGGTAATCCCAGTGAGAAAAGCCGAACATAAGAAGCCAGCTGGAGCTGCAGCAGGAGAAGGTGAGCTTCTCTGACACTGCAGACTTTCCAACCCACATGGTGCTCTCTGGGTATCTACCACCACCCCAGACTAACCTAACCCAGGTGCAAGGTGCTTGGCACGGGGCTGGAGCGCCTGAAGAGCACCTACCTAGGGACTGACCTCCTCCGTGTCAGATTCAAATAGCAGATGGAGTCCCCCAGGCTCAGACCTGTGCATTTCACAGCAATAGTTAGACCCCATTAAATTTGTTCATAAATCTTTGCTCTCTATAAACATTAACCTTCATGAATGATGGTGAAATAGATAATCCCTTAAGGAAAAAAATCCATCTGCGATTAAACTGAACCATTAGGCTCAACTCAGATATGCTACAGCATAGAATCATAGAATGGTTAGAGGTGGAAGGGACCTTAAAATTCCAACCTCCTTGCCATGGGCAGAGACACCTCTCTCTAGACCAGGTTGCTCAAAGCCCCATCCAGCCTGGCCTTGAACACCTCCAGGGATGGTGACCCAGGATGATTTCTGGAGCTATTCCTGAGGGCTCAGACACCCGGATTAACCAGCATCAGCCAAGAGACAGTCAACAGGAGGCACCTCTCCTTGCTCACAAAAAGTCATGTCTGTGCACAAAAGTAGTACAATATTACTGACATCTTGGATAGTCTTGTGCAGGAAAATAATTTCTTCTGAGGAGGAGATATCCATTCTTAACCTCTGGGCTGAGACATAAAAATTGAAGGGAGAACTTCCTATCTTATCTTTGGTGTTACTGTTACACAGCAGTTTGTACAGAAAAAAAAAATCAACCAGGAATTCTAAGAAGGAAGGTGTGTAGTAGGATAGAAATAGGATAAGATAGAAATTAGGATAGGGTAGAGAATAGAATAGAATAGAATAGAATAGAATAGAATAGAATAGAATAGAATAGAATAATAGATGTTGGCAGTTATGGCAGAAGTGATCATGATGTGATCAGAAGCTTGGCTGAAGCCACCAACCAGTTATGCCATCTGGCATGTGACAAATGCATTTCAGTCATCACTGGCTTGGGTTGATGTAAAGTGAGAGGCTGAGCAGTGAAGAGTTCTGGGTCTCGTTGCTGGTGCTGTGATCCCAATAGAGTAGCCAGCTTGTGATGTTAATATTTGTTCTTTCCCTCCCCAATTTAGAATAATTAAGAATTCAGGGGAAAAAAATAATTAGGAAATACAGTGGTTATTTGGTTGTATTTACAAATCTGTAATTTTCCTCTTATTCTGACAATTACTTCAATTAACTGTGGATGTTAGCTTTATTATTACATTTGTCAGTATCTGTCACTGTAAAAAAAAAAAAAATCTCTGATAAATGTCCTCAATTTCTCTTCTAGAGTAATCTCATTAGCCTCTAAGTGAACAAAATACTTAATTTGTTGCCATAGCAGTGGAGTTTTGAGAAATAAATGGTGACCTGCATAGAGAATTAGCACAAACGTGATGAGCGTGTACTAAGACCATTATAAAATCAAAGTTTGGCTTTACCAGCTCTAAGAAGCCCAACATCTGTGGCTGGTACCATGTGGTGTTTGTGAAAATTAGCATCACCCTGGCTGAATTAGATCTCCCAAAAATACCTTGAATTTTTTTCTTACCTTTAATCTCAGACTTGTGCAGAATTGATGATATTAACTACCTACACAGTTAAAGTAAAAGCACAACGTTGTGTTAGTAATGATTTAGGAATTAGAATAACAAGTATCAAAAAAACCTGCCTTCTTAAACCTATCACAGCATCATGGTCCAAAGGCTAAGACATGAACATGGAAGATAAGGAACCCAAGAGAAGGAATTGCTGGGTCTCTAAAATTAAGCGTGAGCTCACCCAGGGCACCCATTCTTGTGAGGAGGCAATATAGTGGCTGAAAGGCACCCAGCCACTTCTCCTTCAACTTATTCAGAGCTATAATGAGTATGTTAGCATAAATATGTACTGCAGCACACCAGGTTGCCAGCACAAGTCCATCTGACTGCCGTCACTGTGCAGCACATCTCCAAAGAAGTCTCTCCATCTGGGACCGTCATCAGTGGCCCCAGAGACATCACCGTCTTTGTAATTATCTGCTGGGCGCTTCTGGCAGCAGTGGCTCTTTTCTGGGGAAAGCCATGACAGGGTTTTTCTTGCTTTTGTGCATCCTCTGAGGTTGTGTCCTGCTCTCTCCTGAGCACTGCCACACCCCAGCAGGGATACATCAAGGGCTTTAGAGGTTTCATCCCTCTTAAGACTTTTTCTGGCCAAGCACCTCGGGATCCTTGACCAAAACTCAAGGCGGAGACTGAGCTCCACCATAACCAGTGCTAGACTGCTGCTAGAGTCCCAGGAGAGCGTGGGTAGATAACAGGGCTGATCTAGAGCATACTCTCCCACTTTGTTGCGACAAGTCTGAGCTGCTCTCCTTGTGCTTTGCCCCTGAGGGAGCGGATGCGGATGGAGAAGAGGAAACTCTCCTTGGCACATTAATGTACAACGTAGCAAAAGAGGCCATTCAGACCTTCCTTCTCAAGGTATAACCACAAACCATGTAAATATTCCAAAGTTTAATTCAGTACAAGACCTTTTGTCTTAGCTGGAATGGCTGCTACTTACGTTTCCATGGAAGGACAGGCTTAAGCCACTTCCCTCAGGCATATATGTGTTACCTGTGATACTTACCTGTAGCCAGCTTAAAGCCAGCTCTGGCACATCTGCAAGAAATGCAAACCATTGATGTAGCTATACAATGAGAAACACAGCAGGGAGCCTTCTTCCAACAGTCTGATTCCTCCTCCTCGTCCTCCCTCTAACCTGCTGCCTGATCTTGGGCAGACGCTTCACGTTTGGTCCTCCCCATCTGTAGAATTAGAGGAGGGTGGCTCTTGCCTTTCTTTGCAAAGGGCTCTTCTGATGTCCACACGTGAAGCTCAGCACCACTCAGGGAGCCCTGGCAGTGTGGTACCCAGCGAGTCATTGCTGCTGAAATGCAAAACTCATCAACTGTTTTGGCCAAACAGCTTCAGGAGCTGCAAGGAAGCCTGAGGAAAAAACAGCTGGTGGAGCTGGAGCCCCAGGCACCACTGGCTGCATTTATCTGCCCAACCCTGGCTGAAGTCTGGCTTGTTTAGGCCATAAAACAAAAACTCTTGTCTTGGTAAAGCTAATTTTATTATTAAAACTCGTACCACACTAACAGCAGTAAAGGCGCCTGCAGTGACCTGGCTTCCCTCCTTTTTGTCTTGGTTTTCTGTGCACCACATTCCCCAGAGCTTCCAGTCACAGGATCAAAGATCCATTTGCAATCCACCAGTAAAGAGGGCTACGTGAAAACAGCAGTATTTTAAAATACCTGTAAAATCTAATCCATATTACTTTTAGGAAGAAATACTTGAAGTGGACTGGAAATCTGAAAAAAAAAAATAATGAAAATACTTACATTTTAAATAGTCCTTTAGGTAAGTAGGTCCTAAAATTTTAAATATATATATATATAGCCAGATATTAAACACTGGATAGTTTTTAAACTCATCAAAATCTGTGGAAACTTTCCACATACATAACCAGGCTTTCAGATCAGGACGTTCAGTTCAGGGACAAAGCTATAGGTTTTTTTGGGGAAAAAAATAAGCCAGTGCCACATTCTTTAAACAGTCAGAATGTCTCCATTCTCACTCTGATAATTTCAGTTGTGGTTAGAAGACTGAAAGGAACTCAGGCAATTTATTTGAAAATCATACTTTAGAAGTACAGCAAGAATGTACACTTTTACACATTCACAGTCCTAGTTTCAGAACCTGTTTTGATATTTGACATTACAAGTGACTTAATGGAATTATAAAGCATATTCTACTAATACTTAAGCATAACAAAAGGTTAATATTCTGTATTTTTTTGCAAGACAGACATGAAATCATTAGGAGATATTCCTTTATAACAAATGTAACATAACAGAACAAGTTGTATTTATTTATTGTACTTACTTCAAATATAGTCTAGACTTCAAAGTATTTATCATAGCATTCATTTTAAATAGCAACCATGGGAAAATCTCTCAAATGTCACAGATTTTAATCTAAAAATTGAAAAGAAATTGAAGTATCTGACAATCATGACCTGCATAAAAACATTTATTCTAGTGGAAAAGTAGATTGGGTGGGGGAACACACCAAAAGAACACATGTAAAGATTAAAAATAAACTTACAAGAAAATAATCTTAAACTCTCAGGGTTTTTTTCTGAGATGAGTATAAATGAAAGTACTATAATATTTTTTTTCTGTATTTTCTCCCATTTATTTAGTTTAAAATTTGGACGGTGCCTGGGGACAGATTCAGACTAGTCGATGCAGACTAGTCCAGCTGCAGCAGATGATGGAAGAGTAGACCTGCCACTATTTTACATCGCTACATCATTTTATGTGCAGAAGCTTTCTGACCTGGGACCTGTCCCTCGGCACTGATTGATGGCAGTGTGTGAGCTGGGACTTTAGTTAGCCTCTGGACTTTTGGATTTTTTCTTGCAGAAGCAATGTGACACATGTAAAACCTGAACTCATTTTCGAATCATTTTGTTTTAAACTGTCCCTCAAGCCGCTGTGTTCTCCTTTTCAAGAGAGTCCAAGTTAGGAGTATTACAGTTTATTGCAGCCTTCAGATTTTTATTTTGAAGGGATGTTTTCTATTTCTTTTTATAGCTTGGAAGGTGGCACAGGAACCATCCAGCCGGTCCAAGAACTGCCAGTGAAAATGCCGAGAATCCAATGATTGTCTCCTAAATTAAAAGAAATAAGGTTAAATAAATCTAAACAGACTGGAATGTTCCCAGGGTAAGCAGTCTATTGCCAACCAAATTCTGTGATAATATTGAACTTCTGCAGCTATAATCCCAGAGACGTGACAGATTCTAAAGGAAAAAATAATCCACAGAGGATTATTTTACATGTTTGGACTCAGAGCACTAGTAACCCAGGGCAGCTGGAAAAAAACTTAGTCCATGCCATGCACAAACATGCTTGTACAAGCCACATTTAAAAGCATGAAAGACACATTAAAAAAATGGAAAATTTTGTATTTTCCTACAGATTCAGTAGATTTTGTGCCTATTTCTTTAGCTTTTTATAAATATAATCTATAGAAATTGTATTATTTGCTTAATAGTTACAGTAGTGCAGGTCACCACTAATCATATAGAAGAGCTTCAAGTTCATATAATAGGGGAGTTGATATAATAGGGGAGAGAGTTGCTGCTAGAATTTAGTTATAATTCTTCTGTAATCACCTGTTGGAGTACTTGTGCTAGGGACTACAGTCAAAGCTCGTAACAGAGTACCCCACAGAAATGGGATTTTGTGACACATCTCTGGAGGATGCTGTGACAGCATTCCCTTCCTCTCAAGAACAAACTTGCCATCTAGGCAGTGGGAGGAGAGGAACTTCTGCAAGGAATGGAGGGGAGTTCCTGAGAAGAGCTGGCTTCTAGCTGGGATGAAGAAAACCTCTATTGTCTAGAGAACGGAAGAGAACAGTGAGAGGAAGCTCTTCTGAGAAGACCGGGACTCCCACTTAAGGGAAAGGAAAGGAAAAGTGAGGGCACAAAGACATAACTCACCAGCAGTCCCACTTTGTCCTCAGGTGGGGAGCTGTGGATGCAGCGGCTGCTCCAACTGGCAGACCTGAAGCGGAAGAGTCGGGATCCGTGGTGCATTATAGGGCCCATCGTTTTATCCCCGTGAGGGGAGAGCACCACTGAGGTGTCCTGACCAGCCAGTAACTACTGCTGCAAGGACTTTCCCACTTCTCTGCTATCTTCTATTGCTCAAAGCCTGTAGGATGCTGAATTCTTTCCAATAAAGGCAAGGAGTCCTTCTGCTTAGCAGTCAAGACCCTTCATTTTTCAGTTGGGCGCAAGAAGCACCAACACAAACCAAAACACACAGGGTAGCTGTTGTCCCTGGGTCAGCACCAGCAGGAGTGTGAGCATGTGCCTGCTCTCTGGGAAAAGGAGCACCTTGGGGTGATGCAGCTACCTCCCACGGGCTCGCTGAGTGATGCTGCTGAGCCCAGCACATGGGAGGAGTCTGTCTCTGCGGTGATGATGCTGTGAGGCAAATGGAGATAACTGTCTGTCCTCCCTTCCGCTAGAGCCATAACAGTCTTTTTTTTCCCTATATTCATATGCTTGTGCCTCTCCACACAAATTATTTGCACCCTCAATTACTCTCTGAAATTCCCATTTGCCCACACTTTCAGTTCACTTACTACCTTCATCCAAAAAAATGATCTGACCCATAAATGACCAGTACCTCAAATTTAACACTTCCCTGCCCCCCACTGCAGAGAATATCTCCCTCCTCCACCTCCTACCCAAAACATGGCTAATCCAGGTGTACAAAGGGCCGTGAAGCAGCCTGCTGGGAGAGCAGCCGTCCACAGTAGGGAAGCGTCAAACCACCTGCCTGGGTCCAGCGTCAGAGCAGAATGTGTGACAGGGTAACACACAACAGCAAAATAATCAGCGTGACTGGTAGGAGATTATTTAAGAACAGAAGTAGCTGGGCAGGCAGAGAGGGATGTGTCTGCTCCTCTGTATGCAGAGCTGGATGGGTGCTGGAGAGCTGTGGTGCCATGCTAATAAGCCCAAGCTTAGGGGCTACTAGCCCAGGACCAGCACCACGTTAAGCAATTTGACTTGAAAACTGGGGCTGGTTTATAGCTAGTCAGCTCTCACCAATAGTAATCAGACATCTGACATGCTATGCATATGTTATTCCTGCACTCAGAGGGTAAGAGGCAGGGAAGTTAATAATCCTCCCCCAGCTACGGACTGTGCCGCTTCCAGTATGAACATTTTTGATAAATTAAATCTGCGTTTGTTACACGCAGACATGAAGATTTTCACTCAGCTGCAGTAAACATGCTCCTTATTAGATTTCCTACTCATTTCTAAATACATTTTATTTATTTCTTCTTTGCTTTCTCCTGCCTTTAAGTACCAAAGCCTGAAGCAGAAAACTCTGGCATCCTTCTCGAGGCTTCTCATCAGGGCACATCCTTGAAGCTCACTTCTGAGACAGCCCGTGACACGGTAGTGGTGGTGAGAACCTCAGCTTGACAGAATGTGCAGAATATGTTAGCAAGATGTGAAAAGCAAAGAGTTAGCAGTCTACACAAACAAACAATAGTAGCTCAGTGATAAAACAGACGGGTCTGGCATGTAGGTTACCAGTGCTGTGGGTTTGTTATCTCAGTACATTTATTTGCTCAGTTTTATGTAAGAAGAGACAACAAGGCTTTTTTCCTGTGAATCCTCCCCAAGCACTAAATATCCTACCTGTCTGTAACAAATACAGAATTTGTCCAGAAATTAATATGTCTGTGAGGTGTGTCTAAAGTAACTAGAGAGGAAATGACTGATTTGATTTCATCAGCAGTGGCAATAGCAGCTGAGCAAGCAGTAGATAACCCTGAGCAACCAAACTTCCTGAGACAGACCCTCTAACACCAAGAGATTGCCCTAGATACACGATATGTGATATTTTAAAATAACAGTTTTCAAGTTCTACTGCTTGTTTTCAGGTATTTAGCTTTTGGGTTTCATGCTTTCTACATTAACTTTTATCTTTCTCTACATTAATTTTTATTTTTCTTTACAGGTGTGAGGGTTAGAAACTTCATAAAGTTATACTGAGATTCTCCTTCCGTCTTCCAGCTATGTCCTGCACAGACCTCCCTAGCATTAATTCCTGTATTAAAATGAAATCAAACACTGTCCTACAGTAGCAACAAAGGCTCTCATTAATCTTACCAGGCTTGGCAATTATTTTCCAGCTTTCTGCACATTCATTAGAAAATGAGACATAATCTTATTTTTCTAGCAAACCTGCCAAGTACTCAGCTGTAAAGTCTAAACTTTTCTTCCCCATTTCTATAGCCTTCTGCTCGCAGTGGTGCTGCATCTCAGCATTTACAGCCAGTCCATGTATTTTCACATAGCAGTCAATTGTATTTTTCAAAATGCCCCTGAAAAGGCTCAGTTTTCGTAGCCCAGAACTGACCCTTTTGCTCCTCATTCAGTCTGCGTCTCATTTGGTGCCTGGGGATGCTCAGCCTGCTCCAGCCTCACCTGTACTAGCACTGCCAGCCCTCTAGACACTACTTATCCACAGCTTGTGAACACTAGGAGTTTTCTCATATTAAATTTAGATTTGAAAAGCCTTTTGCCGTTCCTAGGTTTGTTATTGGTCCCTTCAGGGTGGCAGGAGGACTCCAAAGCTCTCCTGGCACAGTTAATCCAGCAGCTTTCTTCTTCTCTACTACCTTAAAAATACACTCTGTATTTTTCCCAACACACCTGATCCCACAGGATTGCTCCTTGCTCTTTCTCTCTTTCAGAGCCCTGCTTTTAGACTGCTACCACTGGAATAACTCAATTTTGACTTACTGAGGTCCCTTCTTATACGTTCATTAGCTAGTACCATTTCCTCACATCGTACCTGAGAGGACAGATTCTCTGCCTACTGCTACGGTGACATAGGTTATAACAGCCCCGCAGCAAATCACTTCCAATTAACATAAGCAGTGACAGCACCAACCCTCTGATGTTTTAATTCCTTTTCTTCTTCATCTGCTTCTAGGGGGAAATCGTAGCTAACAGTGTAAGGCCATCTCAGCAGTTTTATTTCAGCATGAGATCACTTATTTATTTTATTTAAAAAGTTGAAGCAGGCATGCAAGCAGTTAAGGCTGCTCCATGTTTTCCATGGTATTCGGTTTCAGAATACCACCTGAGGAAACCAAGCCTACTTAACAGAGATTCTTAACTTTCCTTGGACATTGAAATTTAAATCCTGATTTTAAAGAGAATGGAACAAACATGTTGAAACTTCTCTGAAAATTATCACTCATTATCACTAATCTACAGATCTGCAGTTTCTTCAGTCCCGATAAAACGACTCCAATGACATCATTGAAGAGAGAATTTTTAACCACCTCTTTTTTTTTTTTCTTGGTCTATCTATCTTTAGTAATACTTCCACAAATAAAACTCTTGATATTATCTTTGAAAGAGTATTTCTGATTGTCATTGCTTTTTCACTGATGAAAAAGTTTCGGTTGGAGTTAACTAGTTTCTGAACTATCACTGTCATGAAAGATTAAAGATGTATCAAGATGCAGAGGAATTCAAAACAGAAGTCTTACAGCAATGTAAATTTAGGACAGTTTTACTGATGGTGGTATTTAACCAGTAGAACTATGGTGAAATTTAAGTATCTAATTTGAAAAAGAAGTAACTACAATTACCTTGGTTTTTTGAAAGGTTTTTGATTTTTTTTTAAATTATTTTATTTTAATGAGAAAAATTGGAGCAGGGCCAATTTCCAATGTTGCAACTTTCTTGCCATAGGTTTTATATTGGAAGAAAAACAATTCTATTTCTATTGATTGGACATATCAAAAAATCTGCCTTCAATAAAATTAAGTATACTTCATCTTTACAAATGTTCCTGATATGAGGAATATTCTATATTTCCATACATTGCAGATCAATAATAAGTATAGTAGAATATAGAGGATTTGGTGATCATTCTTCTTTTAGCCACTTCTTCAGAACAACACTCTTTCCAGTTCTGCAAATAGAAACTATTCTCATGTCTGTTTCTAGGGTAGACCCACTCTAGATGTGTTTTAACATAAATTCATGTTTGTTCTGAACCTTATTGGAATGCTTGTTTAAGCTGCACAGGCTCTTAGAAGCGCTTTTGGATAAAAAAGGGCTGGAAGTGGTTTTTGGAAGGCAGTGATGGGACTTTGCCCAGCTGCCTCCCAGCATAACCCCGAGCCCAGACCCCACGCCCGGGTGCCCTGGTTCTCCTCCAGCCACCGCCTGGGCTCTGTGTGCCTTTGCAGTGCAAACGCTGCCACCTGGGGACGGCAGAGCTGAGCCAATTTTAGGGTGGAAAAGCTCATTAACCTCATCCAGTGAATTACACTCCTGAATTACAAGGGTATATCAAAGAAAGGAACCGAACGCTGGAATCAGATGCTGTATTTTGTACTAAGCCAAAGCAGGCTTAGTAACACTCAAGTCATCACTGCATTTTGCATAAACAAACCATTTACAAGCTAAATATAGATATCATTTTGCCTTGAGCATTTACTCAGTATTTGATATTCTACAGGTTGTTTCTGTGCAGAATAAAAATGAAGGTAGGTACTTCTTTAACATAATCCTTCTTTTAAAAAAAGCAGCTGAATAATTCTTGTGTCCTAGAATACAAACATAACAAATGTCTTATTCAGAATTCTACAAATGTTTTTATTCTGAAGAAAAACCAAAAAAGAGTCCTTCCTCTCAACTGCAGTCCCCAGTGAATTCATCTCCCAGATTTTATTGAGGTATCTAAGTTACGAGTGTGGACACCATATCTTCCGTAGTTTTTTTTTTTTATTTGTTCATTGTATAGATCATCCCTTCCTACCAAGGTGCACTGAAGATCTGAATCTACCATGCAGATGCCTTTCTTCCTCTACCAACTTGAGGAGTGACTGTGCTCCTAACAAAGACACCTTGGTTAAGTACTGATGTCTGATGGGATGAATCTATGCCTGATCCTGCTGCCAGGATCAGAAAATCAAGGAGGCTGTCACGACCGGTGTGGGCTCTCTGCACAGACCTAGCAATGTCCCTACTAATACACGAAAACTGGCATTTCTAATTATTTATGAATTTACCAGAAAGAAAGGGTGGTACACTGTATTGCCACAAGCATTGCTTCAACACTTAATAAGCCTGTTCCACATAGTGTGTATACACATGGAGAAATTATATTCTTGATTTTGTCAGCGTATTTACCCTAAGAACAATAAATATAATATCACTGACATAAGAAAACAATGGCTCTAATTGCAAAGACTTGTAAATATTGAGGAGGAATACAAGCAAAGAGGAAGAAAAGAGAGAGGAGAGCAGCAAGGAAGGTTGTGAGGCGTCTTGAAATCAGAGCCTGCTGCATCAGTTCCTATTCTCGAACCCATTTCGTTTTAGAAATATCATTAATGGCAAATAGAGAAGTCATTCTCTGTCAGTGTTTCTGAGAGATCGCTGTTAGAGGTTGCACTTGGGCACTTGGGTACTGCAGAAATTGGGAAGTTGCCCTTATGATGATTCAGAGCCCAACTGCCAATTTGTGTTAAGAGTTTAGGATGCATCCACATGCATTTGTCAGGAACTCATTATCCATTCCAAATTGTATTTATGACATATAAAGGCTGAATAGCAACCAGGCTCAGTCCTCTCGCTGTGAGTCTGTACAAGGGGAGAAAGAAGTGAGTGATTTATTTTATTGGCATGGGGAGGGGGGGGAAACATTTTTATTTACTGCCTGAACAGAGCAGAAGAGATAATGGAGGGAACTTCCTAAGTGTTAGGACAAGTTAACAAGTGACAAGCTAAGGCCATTAAATCTTCATGTGCTCTGTTCAAGAGCACAGCACTTGAGAAGGGGCAACATGCCCCTAGGTTTTGAATGACTGCACTAAGAAGGAAAACTCCACAAAATGGAATTTTCTTAACAGAGGCCTGATCCTCTCCTTCTGAAGCCTAGATAAGTTCTACCAATGGCACCAGAGGACCCAGAGAGGGTCTGGTATGCTGTTGTGCAAACCTTATTAAGACAGGCACCAGATGACTTTTTCATTTGTCATTCACTTCAAGCTCAGTTCAATCAACAATTGCAAAAATAAACAAGCTGAGAAAAAAGAATCCCATAATATATTAATACATTGAACTATGTTGGAATCAAGCACATTCAAAAGCACAAATCTTATTAAACAACACTACATCTTCTGTTATTATTATACCTATCAAGCTTTTAATTTAATTTCTTCTGGCTTTTTATCATGTCTTTATTTGTTTTAAAATCACAAGGTAATTTTTTGTGCATGCTGTTTTGCTTTGCATGTAGCTTAAACCTCTGACAGCTTTTGGTCTTCAAAACCCATTTCACACTGTAGATGGCACTAAATCATTGCGCAACACAAAGCAGACTCAGTTACCTACATATAGTTGGGTATGCAGTGACTTTTATCCAGTTTTGTTCTGAAGGCTAAGATTTTTATCCACCTATGTCAGTAGCATGAAAAACAACTTAAAACTTTCCTGCAACCTGGGACAAAAAATATTCTCAACTATGCTTTTGACTCATGTATACAGTCCACGACATTTTTTGTTTTGTAAGCTCAAACGATACGGTCAAGCGGTGGAAGAGCTGGATTACAGAGACTACTTGATATGACTGCAGGCTAGGATTCCACCAGCTGTCCTGGCACAGCTAAATGCCAGCAAAGTCCCAGTTCAGAGTCTGAGCCTCTTCATGGTAGAGTGCTGTAAGGCTGCTCTGGGACGTGCTGGGGACATGGCAGGGCAGCTGAACCGACCAGAGACTGGATGTGCCTTCCTGGGCAGTGAAGGGGCAATAGTACAGGACGTTGCTTTCTGCTTCTGGCCACAGCTGCTCCGGTACAAAGTAACTGCTTTTGAGAAAGGCTGAGTATTTTGCAAGTTCTTTCAACATGTATTTCTGTATACAGTAAGGGCCCAAACTCGTTGCTGCCTTTATTTGCAATATTAAAAATAATCAATACATGGCTAACACTGGTAGAAGCAATGAAATGCTGAATTCCTCTGAATACTAGTCTACTTTCATAAAGGACTTTATTTGAGTTTGGGGATTGATCCTACATCCACAAGTCAGTGATAACGTTCCTATCAATTTTAGTGGGACGTCAGCATTTTGCCCTTTTACTTTGAGACACTAAAATTTCAAGACTTTACCTTTAACAACATTTGACTTTTCCCTTTTGTTTAAATGAAGATGAGACTCCTTAGTTTTTCTGTAGGGAGCAGTAAGAGAGCTAAGTACTATTTATATTTTTCCCTTGGAATCTGATGAATAAGCAAATGATAGTGTAGAGTCTCAGCTGGTATGAGCTGGCACTGTGCAACTGAATACAGTGGCACTGGGCCAACCCAGACAGAGAGAGGAGACAGCCCATGGTATGATTGTTCAACACATTGGATTTTGGACAAGACACAAAACTGGTCCAAATGGCTGGTAGTCGTTAGCTGGAGGCATTCTTGCAAAAGCAAGCAAGTCTTAGTACTGATTCATCCAATTTGGAGAAATGCACTGTGCCTACTTTGAAAATCACTGCACTTATTACTTTTAAAATCACCACGTTCCTTTTTTTCCGTCAGATCCCAAGAACATGTAACCTTTTGGCTTTTTCTT